GAGTTCCAAGAAGAGGAAAAGGGTGGAGAAGAGAAAGCTCAAAGGGTTGGCGATGGGAAAGAGGAAGAGATGGTTATTCGTGCTCAGGAGGGCCAGACAGAGAGTTCGTATTAGACAAGCTGACGAGTCGGCACCTATCACGGGCTGACGTCAAAAGAGAGAGCGAATCCTTTCCAGGCCAAATTTCCGAAGAAAAAGGAGATTCAAAAAGCATCTTCTTAGTCCCAGAACTCATAACGAACTGAAACATAAGACAATTAAACGTCGATGTGGGCGTCCTTTACAGACAATCACGCTGAAGCTCCTCCGCTTCATTTGACGTAAGTGGATAGGGGTCGACGGGGGCGTCGAGAAGTGGTCTGGGCTAACTTTCAGGCGGCCACAAGAAGTGCGCCGCCTGAAATCTGCAGTTTTGGTACTTAGGCTCAGGGAGAAGTGCGTGTTTTGATGGTACTCTCGTATGACCAAGCGACAAAAATTAGGGGAACTCAGGGCGCCCCGGATTTTGGCGCACTCAACCTTAAGAGTAACCCTCAAAGATGGCGAGATAGGTGGCTGCACTCGGCGCATCTAGGGACCGTCATTTCCGACCGTTTAGAGGGTTAGACCCGGATTGGCCTGCCGTGGAGAGGCATCGTGGGAACTGACTTCGCCGCAACGTTTTTGCGGCATACGACCGAGGGCCGAAATGAGGCCTCGAATTTTTGTCTTTTTTAGTACTATAATTAAAGATGGGAAAAAGGGATTAAGACCAGTAGGGGAGAAGAGAAAAAACATAATATCCCTTATTTTTTTTATTTTTCACAACATTTAATTCTAGGGGGAATACCCTTGTTATTTTATGTTCCCGACAATGGGATTAAGAACATAGAAAAAGATTGAAAATGGTAAAAGAGAAAAGAAACGAAAGGAATACGGCCATTTAATTAAACTATCTCAGAATATAATTTTGGGGAACTTACGGTTAATTTACTATTTCCGACAATAGGATTAAGGAAATGTAAGAATGATGAAAAACGATGAAGGGGACGGGAACCCATGACTATTGGGAGATTGGCCTAATTTCGCCTCGATTACCCGCCATCAGCTCTGACCCCNATGATGAAAAACGATGAAGGGGACGGGAACCCATGACTATTGGGAGATTGGCCTAATTTCGCCTCGATTACCCGCCATCAGCTCTGACCCCAGATTGAACATTTTCCTCCGATTTTAACAGTTTTCACTACTGCCGATGGTCGAGGTTCCACGCGTCGCTTTCCCTGGTTTGCTTGATTCCTAACATTACCGCAGTTGGGATGTTCTGAGAGCGGGAGTCGCATGGACAGCATGGGGTGGTGCTACCTTGGATCGACTATGGTGTTTGGTTCGGTACGGATACGAGGGTTGTTATGGAGTGGGTACGTCCTACGGTGTCTGACGTGCTTCAGGTACGGTATCGGCCCGATGACAGTTGTTTTACTAAGGTGACTTATTTTCAGGTTCGGGACAGCTGAGGTGATTTATTCTCAGGACCGGGGCCACTACGACAATTTTTCTAGGTTTGGAACCTTGGCGGCAGTTTGTTTTCAGGTCCGGAAACGTTGCGGCATTCTATATCAGGTTAGGGACAGGTACGAAATTATCATGGCATGATTGTACGGGTTCGGCATCCGCGTGGCACAGCAGTCCGATACTGGATTTCGGGTTTGGTCAGGTTCGGTGGCATCGCGCTGTTTTCGTTTCAGGTTCGACGCCCTCACGACGATTTATTTCAGGTACGGAACCTCTGCGGTTATTTATTTTCAGGACTGGGACTATTTCCTTTCAGGCTCGGAACTTCCATGACGAGTTATTTCAGCATTGAGATCACTACGGTGACTTGTTATCAGGTTCGGGACCATTGCAGTGATTAGTTTCCAGACCCGGAGCCATCACTGGCATTTAATTCAGTTGCGGGATTATACTTAATTCAGATGCGGTGTACTAGCGAAGAATTCTTTCAGGTTCGCCGATGATTCAGAATTGACGTGGCATCGGAATATTTCGGTGGACCGGCGTCGGTAAGGGCTGCCGCACTCCAGAAGAGTATTCCTGGCGCCGAATTGGTACCGTGTGGGGTCCGGAACTTCATTATGGTGGCCGTTTGTAAATCGACGCTGAGCAGTTGGGGTGCCCGCAGGAACGGCCATTGTTTTGGTCTCATCGTGATAAGGAAACTACAGGTTGGACCCGATATGAAGATTGGGTGCTGCGGAATTTTGGCTGACCTGCAATGCTTGCGGTACTCTGGCTTGATGGTTCGCTTGTAGTTCGTTACTGAAAAAGTGCGTGAGTGCTTCCAGGGCTGGCACTAGAACAGCGACTACAAGGCAGACTCAGTTAGCCAAGCCTAAAGCCCTGGCGCTGCTATGAGATGGCCAGTAAATCGAAATGATAGGGATTGAGAGGGTATTCGGGCTGGAACACTTGGGATGACGAGTAAGGAACACCCGACCCTTGTAAGTGAGGCACAGGTGCGGTCTGCGTTGGGGCGGTTACAGCGGACCTGGACGGAGCGGACGGGGAATAGAGTCATCGAGGGAAACTCAACAGGGGATGTGTGCACAGTGTACTCGGCGCAGTTACGCTGGCGGGTGCAGTTGAGGGATAGTGCGCGAGATGATCGGGGCTCGTTTGCAAGACGAAGTCGTGGGTGCTCAGCGAACGGGGAACGTGCGCCAGGTGTTCGCAGTGATTTGGCTTGGTTGACTTCAGAGCTTGTCGGAGAACTGAAGAGGGAGGGGAGTCATTCAGGTGGAAGGGGGGAACCGTTGGGAAGAGTGCCTGTAGGAGGCGTGCCAGGCTTTCACCGCCCCCGGCGCAATCTGAGTTTGAGTTCAGTTGGGGGCGATCAGAGGGAATGCATGCTCGCAGAGGGGGGCATTTTCGTTTGGCATGCCAGGAGTACCCCGCTCTCCTTCGGAGCTCTATGCGGAGACGAAGACCCCGATTGGCTAGTGGGATGGGGGATAAGCATGCTGAATGCAGGGAAACGGGGACTAGTGTGGATTGGCGGAGAAAAAGGAGCTTGGAAGGTGAGTGCCGCCCCCATTGGATTCCGAACTCGTTGGGACAACGGGCTGTAGCGAGCAGCATGTTGGACATGCATCACGCGCGTTTCGGCTCGCTTCACGCGAAGTGACGTGAATCGCCTAATCAAGAAAGAGCGGGAGTTAAACTGGGGAGAGAGGAGAGAGATATGAAGGATGCACGCCAAGCGCGCTTAGCATCCTCTCAGTTGACTCGAGGGCTGTAGTCTCGCGAGAGAGAGAGAGTGAGAAAGCGAATCTGCCAATCGGGCAGTCCTCAGCTGTCACGAGAGTTATCTGCCAATCAGGCAGTCCGCAGCTGTCACGAGAGTTATCTGCCAATCGGGCAGTCCGCAGCTGTCAGGAGAGTTATCTGCCAATCAGGCAGCCCGCTGCTGTCGGGAGAACTCATCGGTGGTGAGTCGCTTTCAGTGAGTCAACCACCTGGYAATTGAGTAACGYGCTCCTRGGGGGAAAGTAAATCTGCAGAGAGTCGTTTTTAGCGAACCAACCATCCGCAAACCGGACAGCTTGCTGTTAGAGGGAGAAAACATCGGCGACAAGTCATTCATTGTTGGCGCGATTCGTCATCCCGCTAACGGGACGAGCTGAGACGCGTCATTGGCTGACTGTAATTGTCGCTGCACCTAAGGAACGGGCAGTAGCATATCACTGTCGACGGGATCTGTCATCCGGCTAACGAAACGATTTGGCTTGTGTCATTAATAATGGGATCTGTTCCGGCTGTGATGGAACGAGAGGACTGCATACCATTGCTGATGGGATTTGTCACCCCGCTGATTGAACCAACAATCACGTTTTGCTGCTAAAGAGGTCCACTTTCCTATTGGTAGAAAGATCAGGCCTTCTGTCACTTGACAAATGCGGACACAATCAGGTATGCGTCAGTATCCTCTCAAGAAAGCAGGGACCCGCGGTCAGAGTTCTCGGCCAGAACARATCATATCCCAAGTTATACCCAAAAGCCCCGCTCTGAGGAGAAGGAGGTAACCTCCTCTCGTAAGGGCTTGTGATTTCGCTCGGCAAGGGATGACACTCAGGGCAGTCTGGGAAGGACCTCCGCGTGAGAGACCCTTCACGAACTGAATCTGGGAAGAGAGAAAGGCGGCCTTCAGGGGTGGGAATAAGAGTGATAAGTACATACTACAGTCAGGGAAAGTCACATGAATGGGAGATTTATTTTTGTTAGCAATTTTGGAGTGTTTTTAAACTGAACAGCTATAGTGGGGGAACATAAAGTTCTCACCCTCAAACAGTCAGAAGACAGGAACTACAATTTCTCGCTCTCCCTCTGAACCCAGAATTACGGCGTAGTGCTATTCGAGATGCTGGCGCAGGCATTAATAGTTTCATTTTCATCATTAATTGTCTTTACGATGCTTTGAACTCAAGGGATACTCTGAAGAGGAAGGAACGATCGGGCGGGAGATAATCAAGAGCTGGCAGCGGGTCTCTCGCACGTTTATTCGAAAAGAGAGAGAGAGAGAGAGAGAAGGGGATCAGAGAGGCAGAGAGAAGAGAGAAGAGCGAGAGAGAAYAGCGGGAGAGACAGAGAGAACAGCGAGGGGGAACAGCGCGAGAGAGAAAGAGGGAGAACAGCAAGAGAACTGCCGAGACTCTTTGTTGTGCAAACCTGCTGATTTACCAGTTGGTCGTTGGAACTCATTATTTTCTGAACCAGTCGATTTACTGGTTGACTATTGAAACTTATTACTGCTTGAACCAGCTGAATTACCTGTTGACTATTGAAACTCATTACTGTCTGAACCTGGTGATTTACTGTTTGACTTATGAAACTCTTTACTGTCTGAACCAGCCGATTTAACTGTTGACTGATTGAAGCTCCTTGCGGTGTGAAGATGCCTAATAAAGAAGAAAAGAGAAAAGAAAAATAGGTAGCGTGACAGGGCGTCTCCTACCTAGATCCCTGTTGGTCGTTGAGGACCTCTAAAGCGCGGACAGTGAAGTGACAGGCACTGTACCCCCTGGCTTCAGCGACGAACCGGCGCCCCTCCCCGGATTTCCTAACAACGTGCCGCCACGTCAGCATGGGAAGGGAGACTGTTGACATCATAGGGATGAGGGAGTTGAGTGCTTGCTAAGCTTCAGCGGTGAGTTGTGTTCTGCTACGTTGCAGCGTTGACAGCGGCATTCCTAGCCGTCAAAGTGGAGAGAGAGGCGATAATCTTTTGTGTTGTTTTGTGCCTATCTCCTGGCATCACAGGTTGGTGTAGGAAGAGAGGGAGGGTTAGTTGCTTCCGTTTAAGGGTGCGAACCTTCATGCATAGGAACCTCGACAAGACTGAGTATATTCTGTTTCACGGGATGGTACGTTCTCTTCTACTTTGTTGGGCTTATCCGCTCCAGTGTCCTGGTCATTTTTTAGATGACCTTTCTACTCTCAGTGTAGTGACAATCGTGACCATATTCAACATCATCTTCTTTCTGAAGCAGCAATATTGGTGTCATGTTTCATCATCATCATCATCATCATCGTCAAAAACCATGATCATCAACATCATCGTAGGTTACATCATTTCAGTTTTTCCTTTTCTATAGGAGCTCATTCTTTTATCTCCTCTCTTCTTTCTTTCTTTCTCCTTCTCTCTTTTCCACTTTCACTCTCTTTAAACAACCATTTCGTCAAAACGGATATATTATATTTTTTGAACGAAATCAAAAACTGATTTTTTTTGCCAAAATCCGGTCGGAATTTTTTGCTCTTGGGGGTCCGGCGTTCCCAAAGCGCCGGACCCCCCTGGTCTATGGCTGACACCAGATAAAAAAAAAATAATTAAAAAAAAAAAAATAAAAAAATAAATTGTATCTGGTCTCAACCATAGACCAGGGGGGTCCGGCGTTTTGGGAACGCCGGACCCCCAGGATCAAAAAATTCCGACTGGATTTTGTTAAAAAAAGTCAGTTTTGATTTCGTTCAAAAAATATAATATGTCCGTTTTGACGAAATGGCTGTTTTTATTCTTTGCATGTTGCCTCCATACACTCTTTGTCTCGCCTCTCATGTATTATCACTCCGCGAGGAGCAGCGAAGAAGGGGGGGAGTAGAGACAGAGGAAGGGTGTGTGTGGAAGGGGGCGGGAGAGGTAGGAGTGGATGAAAGAAGGATGGGCAAGGGGAAGGTAATGGGAGCTGGGGTAGGGAGTGATGAGTTCTGGATAAAAAGAGGGATGGGGTGTATGTGTGCTTAGCCTGTTTTTTCTCTAGTCATTATTCTATAAATAATATTACAAAATCAATATATTTCGTTTAATTCCGTCATCATCATCATCATCATTATTGAGGAAAGTCTATCATCGTGCTATCTAATCATTAATCATCAATTTGACTACTAATCTCATCATCATATTACCACCCTAACTAGTTTCTCTAACTAATATCGTAACAGAAGTCTCAATACATTCTCGATATTCTTATTTTCAAAACTTGAATTTTTTTGTCTAACTAACACAAATGGTATTATTGTATACCTAAAACTCCCTATGAAAAATTATGGATGATTTAATTCCTAAATTCCTTCCCTATTTGTTAGTTTTTTTTCACGAGGATTTTTTTCCACAGACTCCTAGTGATTGCATAAGAAATTTGGTAATTCTCTGATGTTCATTCTCTGCATAAAAATTAAAATTCAGATTCCCTCTGGTGTTCAAGTTTTAAGTATCTTTTAGTAAGATGGTATTATAGAAAATAGAGAGTTTCATTCTGCAAGGGCGACGCAAGGTGGGAGGTGAAGCCCTGGAGGGGGTGCGAGGAGACTTAGTGGGTTGCCCTATTCTGGGGTTGGGGTGGTGGTACACATCCCAGCAGGGGCAAATTAGGGTAAAAGGTGTGCAGAGGCATACTTTGGGAGGGAACTGTACGCCTTTGAGGGATAAGAAGGAGGAACGTGGGACTGTCCCAAGTTGGGGCCGAGATGGGATGACTGCAATCTGGGTAATCCGTTTCGGTGGAGGCAGCATTGGAACAGGGTGGGAAGGAGGGGAGGGGAAAGTTTAATCTACAGAACAGGTGTTTGAGAATTTTTTAGTTTTCAATCATGTTATATTAAGTTTTCTGGTGTTCTGGAACTTTTGGCAGCATCTGGCCTTCTTCCTCATTTGGGATATAGGATTTTAGAGATGGTCGAACCTGGACTGATATCCGCAGTGTTGATTTGTTTTGTGTCTCTGGTTTGCCGATGTCAGAGCGACGCTGACCAGAGATGGGGCGTTGCCCTGTAACCTACAATGGCAGGAGTGTGAGGCTTTGTCGAGAGACCTGGAGTTTGCTGAGGGAGGAAAGCAATCTAGTGGCAAACCAGGGGGGGGTTGCCTTGACAACCCATGGGGCCGGGGATAGTCTAGGTGGCGAGAAGAGGTCAACTATGGTTGACGTTGGTTAGGTTAGTATTGTCTCTGAGATGCAATGTCCTGGTAAAGGGAGGGCGATGAGTTGTTCTAGGTTTAGGAGATCAGAATTGCTGATATAACATAGTTTTTTATATTTTTATATATACTAATCATCATCATCATCTTAAAAAAACGAATTTCATAGTTTTCAATCATGTTATATTAAGCTTTCTGGTGTTCCGAAATTTTTGGCAGCATCTGACCTCCTTTCTCATTCGGGATATAGGAGTTAAAAGATGGTAGCACCTGGACTGATATCTGCAGAGTTGTTCTGTTCTGTGCCCCTGTTTTGGCGATGCTAGAACGACACTGACCGGAGCTGGGGCGTTGCCCTATAACCTGCCCTGTAACCTGCAAATGGCAGGAGTGTGAGGTCTTGTAGAGAGATCTGGGGTTTGCTGAGGGAGGAAGGCAATCTAGTGGTGAATCGAGGGAGGCTGCCTTGACAACATATAAAGTCGGAGATACTCTAGGTGGCGAGAAGAGGTCAGCTATGGTTGACATTGGTTAGGTTGGTATTGTCTCTGAGTTGCAATGTCCGGAGAGATGGTTAACGGCCGCATATGTTTTCAGGTCTCCTTTCCGGGCAGTTCAGTCACTTTAGGTTACTACACCACTTTCAGATTGTGTGTGGATCTATACATGGGGTTGTCTGAAACGACCTTCAGGCAGTTCAACCACTTCAGGTTGATACACCACTTTCAATTGCCTATAGATC